AGTGGAATAAACAAAACATGACCTGTCCTCTTTCCTATTGCAATCTTCTGCCCCACACCTGTGGCCCATTTGTTACACCACACTAAGGGCCCTGGTCCTCTGGTTTGGCTGACCGCGATCTCATCGGTGAAGTGTTTCTGGGGTCTGTAAAGCACTTCTCACAGGCAACATTAGTTATAATTAATGCCTCCAATCATCTCCACATCTGCAAAGACCTAGGTGGAACAGTTCAGTTCTAACTGGAACCACACAGTTAGAGCTGGTGAGATGGAGCTGGCAGCAAGGAACTCGTCTCTGCTCCCACTGCTCGAAGAGGGCCGTCTTCTCTCAGTCCGTCACCGCCTGCCAGTGCTGAAGCCACAGGCCTCTGTACACCGGGATTACTGCTAGAGCCCTAAGTAGCAGGCACCACTGACTGGGGTTTCCTGGGGCTGCCAAATGCATTCACCCCACCCAAGGAGAGAGGATCAGATTCACATGTGCTGAGGTTGGGGCGATCACTGAATCGTGAGGGTACTGTGCTCCCCAGTGAGTTCGTGCTAATTGCTGGTAGGAGGTGGACCTGGAAGGAGGGGGGTAACTGGAGGCATCCCATTGGCGGATGTATACACATGTGCACACACACACACACACACACACACACACACACACGCGCACACACACACACACACACACACACACACACATACGGCTCCCTCCTTTGCTCTCTACTTCCTGGCTGCCATGAAGCAAGTGACCTTCCTCCCACAAGTCCTTCCTCCACGGTATTTCTGCCTTGGAGCCAGGAATCCCCTCCTTTGCATACGTGGGTGTTGGATATTTTGCCCCATGATGGGAAAGCTGAGTAACTCACCCCCGTGTCACTCACTTGTATGTGCACCCGTCCTATTTTGGTATTCTGTGGTTGTCTTCTTCATGGCATTTATTGATGCCCAAAGTCACGTCAAATCTTAATGACTTGTCACCCACTCCAAGAGCAGGAAATTTAACTGCTCTTTCCTACTGTGTACCCAGCACTTAGAACAGTGCTTCACACATAATAGCACTCAAAAAATATCTGTTGGCAGAGCAAACTAATCCACAGGAGGAACAAAATGAACTGAATAAGGAAGATCAGCTAGAAAGCATTAACCACGAAAGGTATGGCAGACTCCCAAAACTAATATGCTTAATTACTAGTCATCTGTACAGCGACACTGTACCCACAGCACTAGACAGCCATGCTTAAAAGGTCTGAGGCCAGAAGGAAAGACACTGGGTGGTATTCTCCTTGTCCAAAGGTGGGCAGAGTACTTACCTGGATGCTGTTGGACATTCCATCATCAAGGAAACTCACACTGAGATTTCCACCCACTGGGAATTTTCTTTCTTTGAATTGCCCAACACCATCTAGTTTTTTTTCCATCTAGTTTATTCAACTCTTGTTTCTCTACTCAGTAGATAATTCAATAATTTACTTATTAAATAGGAGGCATATTCAGAGGGTAAGGAGATGGAACAAACTTCCTGAGTTTATGACCTGCTGATAAATAAAAGGTCTTAAATTTGGATAAGGAACTAACAAAAAATTAGTTTTTCTTCCATTAAAAAATAGGATCGGGAACAAGCAAGGATGCCCACTCTCATCTCTCTTATTCACCACACAGTGCGCCTCAGGTCAAAGCAGAAGTGCCTGGCAAAACTTTGCTTCTGTTCACAAACTCCACATGAGGTCATAACAGGACTGCGATCAACTTCCCCCCACAGACATTAGTGCGGCATTTCCCCCAAAATCGTGAGACAAATTAAGTTCATGAACTCAGAACCACTGTAGTTCCTGAAATTGTAGCTCACGCAATTAAGAAACAGAAAAAGAAATAAAATAAAGGGGGTAAAAATAAAAAAAGAAGTTAAATTATCCTCTTTGCCAATGATACAATCTTATACTTAGAAAACCCTAAGGGCTCTACTAAAAGGTTTTTAGAGCGGATAAATGAATACAGCAATGTGGTAGAATATAAAGTCAATATTTAAAAATCAGTGGCTTTAATGTATACTAAAAATGAACTGAGGAATCAGGAAAATAATTCTACCCATAATCGCTTTCAATATAATAAAGTACCTAGGAATCTAGTAGGGGGTGAAATACCTTTACAATGAAGATTTCAGAATACTAACAAAAGAAACCAATGAAAAGGTCAGAAGAAGATGGAATGATCCCCCACGTTCATGGCCTTGTACAATTAATATTGTCAAAAAGGCCATAATACCAAATGCCATTTAGACTCAAGGCAGTCTTCATCAAAACACCAATGACATTCTTCATAGCATTAGGCAAAAATCCTAAAATTCATTTGGAGACACAAAAGACTGAAAATAGCCGAAACAATCTTAACAGTCTGGCATTATAATACCTAATTTCAAATTATAGTACATAGTAACAAAAACAGCATGATATTGACACAAAAATAGACACACACAGACCAGTGAAACAAAATAGAGGACAAACACACAAACAACTAAAGCCACCTAGTTCTGGACCAAAAGCCAAAAATGTACTTTGAAGAAAAGACAGCCAATTTAACAAATAGTGCTGAGAGAATTGGACACCAGCTTGTAGAAAACTGAAACTCTGTCTCTCCCCTGTACAAAAATCAATTCAAAATGGACCAAAGACACAGGTATAAAACCTGAAATTTTGATACTTATAAAAGAAAACACAGAGAAACACCTGAAGCCATAGCCACAGGCAAAATCTTCCTAAGCAGGAATCAACAAGTGGGTCTGCATCAAATTAAATAGCTTCTGCACAGCAAGGGAAACAAAAGTTAAGAGACAGGCTACACAATGGAAAAAATCTTTACCAACCAGTCTCCCAACAGAGGATTAGTATTTAAAATATATACAGAATGCAAAACCCTTAACATGAAAACCTCAAGTAGCCAATCAATAAAAAAGACAAGTGATTTGTTCAGATACTTCTCAAAAGAAGAAATATAAATAGAAAGGATGAGAAAAAATGTTCAACATCATTCCACTAGGGAAATACAAATCAAAACAGAGCCCAAGCACGGTGATGCACCCCAATAATCCCAGCACTCGGGAGGGTGAGGTAGGGGGATCACCACAGCTTCAAGTTCAGCCTGGGCTACATACTGAGACCCTGTCTCCGAAACAAAACAAAACAGATCAAAACAACTACACTAAGATTCCATTTAACCCCTGTGAAAAAGTATTAAAAAAAACTAATCCAACAAATATCAAGGAAAGCTACTAAAAAATAGGAGGCCTCATTCTGATCTCTAATGTTTCTGACAATCACCATTTGTGGATACCTGCATGCAGGTAGCTTCCAGTACTTTTTCTTCAGACTCTGGGCAGGTAAAACAGCTTTTATATGCATGGACTTCAAAATGGCCCTCACCGTTCAGCAACGTTACATGATCAGTGCGTTTGTCAGCTTTCCCTTACTGTAACAAATACTTGAAATAATCAGTTTAAAAAGAGGAAAGGTTTGTTTTGGCTCACAGTTCCAAAGTTTCAACCTATGGTTGGCTGGCTTGGTTGCTTTGGACCTGCCATAGACCAGGCAGGAGTGCATGCTCCAGGAGACCTGTTCACTTCCTGGTGGAGAGGAAACAAAACAGGAGGGAAAGGAAAAGACATTGGTCCCGTATGGCTTTCGAGGACTCACACCCCGTGACCTGCCTTCCGCTAGCTTTCATCAAAGGCTCTGCCACCTCTCAATAAGCCACAGGCTAGGGACCAAGCTGTCAACACACAGGCCTTTGGGTGCAACCCAAAACACTGTTCAGCAACCACTAAGCAATCTCAGAATAAATACCGAAGACACAGTTTTTGCATGCTTATAATATTTACAGCCCAATCCTAAGTTTGTAAAGTAGTATGTTCCAGTGCACTGCAAACCTACTGGCAAGTTACACACTACAGAGTTAACCCCAGCTACTCCAGGCAATAGGCTAGGAGTTGATCCTTATTTTCTTTTACATATTCTTCTGTTTTCCAGAAGAATGTTTCCATAATGTTTTCCATAATGAAAAGTTTGCAATAAAAAAATAACAGAATATCCTAAAGGTAATTTCAAATTTATGACCTATGAAGCTATTGCTGTAGCTGTTTAAATTCTCAGTTAAATTTACAGTTCAAGTTGAGGTTAAGTCTATTTGGGTCATGACAGATAATGTGCTAACGTAGCAAACAGGAATATAGAGCAGGAAGATCACTATTGTCTTGGGCTTCTGTGGCATCTCAAGTTCCCTTCTTCTGGACTTGTCTGGATTTGGGTGGCTTCTCCACCACATCCTCCCGGGAGTGTGCATGGGAGAGAAACACCAGCGCTCTATGACTAAAGCCTGTTATCCACTTAATGAACTTATTTCTTTAGGATATTTTCCTGTAAATACCTGGGTCTCTTACATCCCTGCTACATCCATAACAGAAAAATACCTATTTACAAACCATAATATAAAAAGAAATTTATCACTTCCTGGAAAGCAAGACCATCTACTGACACCTACTACTATTGATGTCTTTCCCCCACTGCACATGTATCTGTGGTTCCCACGCTTACAGGTTTGGTGTCCTCGCCCTGGTGGCCAGGGAGTGTGGGCCAGGGCTTGTGGGCCACCACATTGCATACCCTTAGGACCTCAGCGTGTAGATGGCACCATTCTTATTTGAATGACAGGAAATGCTTGGAGGTCAGAGCAAGCCAAGATAGCACATCTACCTACTCACTCAGGTCTTTCTAACCCCAGAGCCCAAGTAACCACATAAACTTAATTCTGGCTGAGAACGGAGCTCAGGTTAGAGGACTTTGATTCCTTTTCACAAGGAAGAGGAGAGAGCTGCAGAGCCAAGGAAGGGCTCTTCACAAACAAGGCTACCATGGAATTCACTGTACTATTAAATCTGGATTATAAAGTTAACATATGATAATCTGTGGTCAAATTTGTCTACCAAACTATTTTTGAGTCATGATTAAAGAGTCTCTAGGAATATAATTATTTTAAAAATCTATTTAGCTCTCATATACTTTTTTTTAATTTTCAGGGGGGAAAAGGGGAAAGGTTTTTAAAATATTAGAAACTAGACTTCTCACAGAAGAAAAAGTAATGAGATGTGAGTGAGGGAAGACAGCAGGAGAAACCAGACACTAAGTAGAAATCAGCTGGCGGCTGAAGCCTCCTCCATCCCCAGTCAGGACGGAGGAGGTTACTTTCAAATTCTTCCCAAATAAAGCTTTTATTTATCTCAATGATTTTGTTCAGATGTTTAGACAAAGTTTGCTGTCTCTTGTGGTACACGCTGTCTTTCAAATAACCATGGTCGGACAAATCTGTCAAATTCTCAGAAAGACAGTTCACTGAAAACCCACTCTGTGCTCTGCACTGAAACGCGTTGCTGAGAACACACTGCTCTTCCTCTAAGAAGAGCCGCCAGTGGGGGCCAAGTGCCCTCAGGGAGCCTGCCCTGCGCATCTGCAGGGCAACTGCAAGAGGTGACAAAGAGTCCACAGAAAGCCGAGGAACTCCAGGGCATTTGAAACCTTCAGCCCCTTTATGCCATCTCCTGGCAAACCAAACCAACAGCTACAGGTTCTTCAGCCACCAGGGACGGGTTAGAGCATGAGCATCCCATAGATGAAAGAAAAACCAAAGCCATGTTAAAAAACCTGGTCCCAGTTTTATAAAAACATTTCTCTGGACGAAAACTGCAGTGTTAGTACGCAGGGCACTCAGCGACAGTGGATGCAGTCCGCATTAGTGGTAGCTCTTGGGCCTCGCATGCAAGAACCTAGGCCTTGGGGCTGGGGATTTAGCTCAGTGGCATAAGCGCCTGCCTTGCAAGCAGGCAGTCGTGAGTTTTCAATCCCCGGTACCGGTAAAAACGAAAAAAGACAAAAAAAACAGGAACCTAGGCCTTGATGGCCGCTCTCAGGTTGTCCCAAAACCCCTGGCGCTGGGCCTCCTCGGCGGGCCACTCCAGGTAGGTCCTGGTATTCATGACCTTGCGCAGCTTGCAGAAGCGCTGCGGGATAGCCTTCTTCTCGATGGGCTCCAGCAACACCAGGATGGCGGCGTCGTTGTTCTCGTCGAAGAGGCGGAAGTGCGAGAAGTCCAGCTCGTACTTGCACCACTCGCTCTTGACAAAGTTCTCGGAGAGCACAAACACTGTCTTGTGGCTCTTCTCGATGCAGTCGATGATGTTGTCGATGATCCACTTGCCCGGGACGAAGTCGCGCTTGTGCAGACACAAGCGGAAGGGGGGCTCGGCGTGCTCCAGCTCCTGCACCAGCAGCTCCTCCACCCAGTACGAGTCCCGCTCGCTGTAGGACACGAAGGCGTCGTAGCAGATGTCACCGCGGGGCGCCCGCCGGGGTTTTCTTTTAGCATGGAGCCAGGCCCATATCATTCTCAGGTACCACAATCCATGAAGGCGGTGGCACAGGACCGCCAGGAGCAGCAGCAGCAGGACGAGCGCGCAGCACACCACAGACACCAGCGCGGCCCGGTGGCACTCGGCCACCGAGAGCCGCGCATCCTGCACCCGCTGGCCCCGCACGTGGGCCGGCGAGTCGCACAGGTAGCGCGCGGGCCAGTCGCTCAGCACCTGGTCCAGCGTTGGCTGCGCCTGCGCAAAAGTCACGAAGTCGCAGGAGCAGATGAAATTGTTGCCACCCGCCTCCAAGGTCTTCAGGCTGGGGAAGGTGTCGAGCTCCTCCTGGGAGAAAGCACTTATTACATTCCTGCTGATCTTCAAAACCTGCAATGTGGGTAACCTGGAGCCGTCAGGGAGAGTCTTCAACTTGTTTCCAGAAATATAAAGTTCTTTCAGTTGAGGCAAAGGCAAAGAAAGTGAATTGAGATTATTATAGCTGACATCTAAAATTTCCAGTGTCTGGGGAATGCAGTTGGTTAACTTGTCTATTTGTGTGCTGGATAAATTCAAGTACCTCATCTTTTCTGGCCACTGACAAATTTCAGGCATAGAATGAAAACCATTTCTACTGATATCAAGCCTGGTTAGGTTGTGCAGAGTCAACAAAACCGCTCCAACTTTTCCTATTTCTACAAAATGATTTTTCCTTAAGATTAAGGTTTGTAAGGATGGCCAGCCACCCTCGCAGGCTGCATTTCCCAAGTTTTCCTCAACCATCAAATTTTCACTGAGATCCAAGTACTCCAATGACTTCAAATGCTGTGAGAGTAAACAAGGAACCAGAAAAACCTTGCTGTTTTCCAGTGTGATTCGTTTAACTCTCCCCATGAGTGAATAGATGCTACTAAGGTCATAAAATAAGTAGAAGTTTGGAATATGCACTCTCCGGATTGTTAATGTTTCTCCTTTTTTTGGATATGCTTCTTGTATCTCAGAGCCCTGAAAGTCTCCAATGCCATTATAAGTACAGTCCTCAAATTCTAACTCTAACAATTCAGAAGCATAACTCGCAAATTTCAAAACGTCCCTAAAACTTTTATCAGTCATGTGCACGTTTCTGAACGTGAACTTTGTAATCAGTGGATTTGTATCACCAATGGGCAGTTCTGAGCAGCTGAATGTATTCAAGTTAGTGTCACCCAGTTCCAGGTGCTCCACGGAACCCAGAACATCTGCAAAGATCTCCAGCAGTGAATCGTGTCGCCGCATGCGAAGGACCAGGTGACCAATGCGCTGAATTGACTTTAAGCTTTGTGCCTTGTAATTCTGGAGATTGGGTGCCTCGATCTGCAGTTCATCGAGAAAGGAGAGTCCGGCAAAGTCTGTTTTCTGCATCCTGGTGAAGTGGTCATTTCCAATCCTCAAGACCCGCAGACTTGTGAGGTGAGAAAAAAGAGGGGTTTCCCCAAGAGTTTGGTAAGAATTTCCCAGGAGGTTTAAGAACTTCAAGGTGGGAAGGTGCCTGAACCAAGAGGAGGATAAATTAGACAAGCGGTTTTCGGATAAGTCCAAATACTCGAGACTTCCCAGTGAGAGGAAGGCCTCTTCCTCGATGGTGTGAATGCCGCTGGACCTCAGCACCAGGGCCTTGAGGTTCACACAGCTCTGCAGGTCACTGTGGCCCACGGCGGTGATCTTATTGTTGGACAAATCCAGCCTTTTCACGGATGCTGGCAGGCCTGAGGGAATGGAGCTGAGAGACCTGGACCGGCCATCACAGACCCCAGCTGGGTCACAAGACAGAGGAGCCTGGGCCAGGGGTCCTTCCTTGGAAGGGCTGATCATGACCCCCAGGAGCCACGTTATCCACAAAGCATGTGACATTGTAGTGACACAACCTACAAACAGAAGAGGTTCAAATGAGACTGTATATGAAGCATGTAATTCCGATTCTCAAGTATTTTACCAAGCATAATGCACACAGGAAACAATAGGTGAATGGCACATATAAATGGGGGTAAAAGATGAATTTCCTGACACATTCAGCAGCACTGACATTTAACTACCATGCACAAACTATTTTTTTTTTTTTTTGGTACCAGTAATCAAACTCCGAGTTTCACATTTGCCAGGCAGGTGCTGTGCCACTGAGCTACATCCCAGCCCTCACGCACAGACTTAAAGACCCAGCCATCTGGGGCTGCGGAGGAGGATGTTGAATGAGCAGGCATCCGCACATGGACTTTCAGACACATCTGCCAGTACTTGAAATCCTCTTCCTCTTTAGTATGAGACTTTCCCCTGCTTCACATCACCGGAGCGCAGACACGTCAGAGGCCCTAACCACAACTCTGACTGGACAGCGTGGCACTCAGGGAAGCTCCAGGAATAGCCTGCTCTTGACCCAAGACAACTTCAGGCTCCCCAATCCTGCCTGGCTCCCACGCCCAGCAGGCAGGAAGGATGCTGGGAGCCCCAGGCAGAGCAAAGCTGTTTACTGGACCATCCAACCCTTCTCTTTCCTGCAGGCTCCTGCAGAAAGCAGGACTCAGGCCTGGTTGAGTTGTCCAAACAAACGCACAGGAAGTATAGCTGTTTGCACAACAAATGTGCCATTGCTTTCTTCCAGGAATCCAACAACTGTTTCTCCACCCACCTTCAGCCTTCTGGGCTGGGCTGTTCTCAGCCCCAAGGAGAGAGCCACATCGCTGGGTCCCTGCTGGCAAGGAGCAAGAGAACTTCGCCTTGATCTTTAACTCTTGGTTATGTGCTGAACCCATGCCACTCCACAACCTCCCAGAGGCCAGGGCTCTTAATCCTGGCACCCTTTTCTTTACCTCACTGATCTTTGCTCTGCTTTTTTATTAGTTCCCATAAAGATGTTATAAAATCTCACACTGTACAGATTAATCTCCCTGTCTGTCAGTTTGGCTGTACTTTTTATGGCATGTTGTAAGTGTTATAAATTCACAATCTCTTTTCAGTGAAACTTTCAGCCTGGTTAAATGTTTCTCATTACTCTAGCAATGATATTAATATAATTATATATATGTATAATTTTTTCCTTAACATCTATTTTGCCTATTAATATATAAATAGCTGTTTTGATCATTGATGATCACTTTACATCTCTCAGTATCCTTACAAAAAGCATCTCTTCCAAACAGAATCATGACTGCTAGGTTGTAAATTTTAAGTACAATTCCCACAATATTAGTCTGATGATCCTAAACTTTGGTCCTTTCCATCCAATACGATCACTGATCTTTTGGGATTTAAGTACTGTACCATATTTTTTCTTGTCCTGCCTATTTTATGCTCTCTTGTCTCTCTTGCTTTCATTTAAACTGAGGGGTGATTTTTATCATTAGATTTCTTTCCCATTAGTTTATTTATAAGTAAAATAGTACCAAATAATAACATAGTTTGGAAATTTCCAAAATACACTGTTGAAATTCTGGCAGTTTTTGTAAAATAGGGACATTCTTAAAAATTTTTTTTCAGAAGCAAATGTTACTTGAAACAGAAATCATTTTCCAAGAGTCACGCGGTTTGCCATTTCCTTTTTTTTTTTTTTTCTTAATGGTCGCTTTTTCAAGCCAGCCCCCCCCATCTGCCAGTGTTCTTTTGCAGATCTTAATAACAGTCAAAACCTGCACCATTTAAAGTCATCTCTGTAGGTTGCATTGTTTACAACCAGTACAATTTTATTTATTTTATGTTATTATTATTAATTTTTGTACCGGGAATCAAACTCACGACCTCGTGTATGCCAGGCAGGCACTTATGCCACTGAGCTAAATCTCCAGCCTGTACAGGTTCTTAAGAAAGAAAAACTCTTTGCTGCCTTGCATTTGACCTCCAAACCCAAGTCTCACCGAAGGCAAATTAGTTGCAAGGGGAACTCCAGAGTCGCCACTGCTCGAAGGCACAGAGCGGTTTCCTACGCAGCGCCCCAACTCCGGCACCCCGGACGGAGGCCGGGCCCTGCGCAGGAGTGAGGTGGGGTGTAGATCCCCGGACGGGCCTGGGGTGGGAGGCTGGCCGGCTGGGGCGCCGTCGTGGCTGAGCCCCAATCTGGCCCCTCTCCTGCGCGGGGACCGGCATTCGCGGTCACGCCCCTGCGAGGAGCTCGCGCGCAGGCACCGGGGAGCGCGGGCCGGACCCCCCAACCCGGGTCCCTCAGGCGGGTCCCCACACCCAGGGCGCGGGCCGTACCTGCGCGAGTCCGGAGCCGGCAGAGTCCGCGCGGCGGGCAGCTGCGGCCGGGTGGGAACCGCGCGTCCCGCTGCCCGGGGCGGGGGCGGGGCGGGGCCGGGCCGGAAGAGGCTGGCGAGGGCGCAGGGCTGGCAGGGTGGCCGCGCGGGAAGGGGAACCGAGAGGCTGCGCCGCCCCCGCAGGGCTTTCCCGACGCCCGGAGGTCGATCGCGCCCGGGGAGAACGCGGAGCGCAGCGGCCCAGGCAGCGCTTTGCTCCCGGGCCGGGCCGAGCGCGCGGGGACCCCGCTGCCACCGTCTCCGCGAACCTAACCGACACCGGGGGCAGAACCGGCCCCACACCGGGAAAAGTGCGAAGTGGAAAGGCCAGAGCCAATTGCCGAAGCCGCGGTCCCCCCCCACCGCGCTCGCAGGGCTCCTCCTCCCCAACCCACCGACCCCACCCCAGTGTTGCTCCCCTAACGTCTCCCCTCTGGGAAGCGCAGACCCGCGCCCTGCGATGACGCGGAAAGTGAGCTGATTAACCGCAAGGGGCGGCGGAATATGCACCCCCAAGAACCATCATCAGATCTGGGGGTAGAGACGTGGGGCTGCATGCACAGCTCGCGGGGCTGTAACTAATTTTTAGGGGAAGAAATGAGCCCGAAGAATAGACAGTGGCCCGGGCCAGCTCCTCGGAGCATTAGGCTGCTTAGTTCGCAGCCTCTTCTTCACGGACAGGAGTTGCATCTGTCTGGTCTGTTACTGAGGTGTGGGTAAGAAGATTCAAAGGCCACCGGCTCCTCTTCAGCAGACGCTGTGTTTGTGTGGACCGGGCAGCCTCAGAGGAAACCCTGCCTGCTATCTGCCCCAGGGAGGCAGGGGACCCGGTGGCACACCTCCTGGCCTTAGGCTCCCAACACACTCCGGGGTGTAGACCCTCACAAAGGTAGTCAATCTCCTAAACACCCTGCCGTGAGCCTGGATAGTCCTAGCCCCTGTTACACTTCCTCAACCTCTAACCTGAGCCCAGGAATAAGGTAACAAAAACAAGATGGTGCTGGGGGGGGGGGGTCAGAGCCAAGGATCAGTGGAACACGTTAGAAGGCTCAGAAACAAATCCAAACACACTCAGCCATCTCATCTTTGACAAAGAAGCCAAACACTTTGATTGAAAGAAAACCTCTTTAATAAGTGGTGCTGGAAAAACTGGCTCTCTACACATGCTGAAGACTAACACTAGACCCATGTCTATCACCATGCATTAAACTAAAATCACAATGGATCAAATAAATTTTAAAACAGAAGCGCTAAAATCTAGGTAGAAAGCTTGAAGACAGGAGTAGGCCAAGACTTTATGAGCAAAACCCTGACCACATAGGAGCTATTACAAAGAATCAATAACTAGGATCACATCTTATCAAAAAGATTTTGTATAATAAAAGAAACCACCAACAGAGTGAAAAGATGGCCCACAGTGTGGGGAAAATTTTTGCCCTCTGTTCCTCAGACAAAAGACTAATATTAGAATATTTAAAGAAGTCAAAAAAATCAGACCCCCAAAATTTAAAGGCCCAATCCAAAAATGGGCATCAGAGATAAACACACACTTCTCAGATGAAGAAGTAGAAGGGGCAAAATAAATATGTGAAGAAATGTTCAACATTACTGGTCATCCAAGAGATACAAATTAAAACAACACTGAGATTCCACCTCACCCCAGAAAGAATGGCTATCATCAAGAAATCAACCAGTAACAAATGCCAGCAGGACTGTAGGGAAAAAGGAACCATTCCTCACTGTTGGTAGGAGTATAGACAGATGCACCCACTAAAAATCAATGAGGCGATTCCTCAAAAAATTAAGATTAGAGGTCCCATTCAACCCAGCCATTCCTCTTCTCGGTATCTTCCTGGGAGAATTAAAAGTGTCATATCACAGGGATATAGGCACACCTATTTTTATAGTGGCACAGTTTATTACAGCTAAATCTTGGAACCAGCCCAAATGGCCACCAACTGATGAATGCATAAAGAAGACTTTTTTTTTTTAATACAACAGAGTACTACTCTCTTATAAAGAAGGATAAGCTGCGGACATTTCTAGCTAAATGGATGCACCTTGAGACCCTACTTTTAAGTGAAATAAATTGAGCACCCAAATAAATTAAATACCACATTGTTCCTCAGCTGTGAGAAACTGAGAGTGTAAGTAAATATACAATAGATACTGGGAAATAGGAAGAAGATATTCAAATGAGAAGGAGAACAAGGGAAGGAGGAGAGAGAAGCAAGAAAGAGACAAGAAAAAGTAAAGCGAATAGAAGGAAGAAGTAGAAACAAAGCTTTTGCACATAAAGAGGGCTACTCTGGGCAGACAGCGCTCACATCTTTGACTCTGGCCCCCTTGGTCCTAGCACTGCAGCATGAGTCAATCCCAGCGTCTCACACTTGAGATGCAGCCACCTCTGCAAAGCCCCACCATGGCCACGGAGGCTTTCAGGGACATCTAAGCAAAGCCCTAAGTGCTCCAGGTTAAACTCACGCCTCAGCTTTCTTTTCAGTCCACTCTATCTCTACAGAGTGTGCTTTCCTTTGCTAAATCACTGCCTTTCTTACTGCTTTCCTCTGTCCTGCTCTCTTCTTTGTTCAGGATACAGAGTACCTGGATGTAGAGTGAGACCCCCACTAACTGTCTGGGAACACCAGGAATTCTCAGTCCAGAGTTGGAGGAGGCGTGTTTGTATTCCCAAGGGTACAAAAGGACAGAGAAACGGAATCACAGGCGTGAATGTGAACTGCGAGGGTGGACTCCTGGTCCTGTGAAGTCTGCTTTTCCATACCGTTCACTGACTGTGCATAGTTTTCTCTATCCTTGGTAATTCAGGTGCCCTGGTTTGATTCTTTCTTTCTTTTTTGTCTTTTGTGACAGAATTTCACTATGTGGCTCAGGCTGGCCTTGAACTTAAAGCAGTTCTCCTGCCTCAGCCTCCCAAGTGCTGGGATTACAGGCATGAGCCTCCACACCTGGCAATTTTTGAAAAGACTTCTTTTATATTGATTCAAAATCTCCACCTCTCTTTCTCATTTCTCAGATACTTGAGAAAACATCTTTCAAATTATTTTCCCTGAAACTAGAAACCTCTGTCTTTTGTCTAATTGAACTGTCTAGATTTTGGCATTATTGCTTTGCAATTCCAAAGTCAAACAGAACATTCTGGTACAATCAAGTAGAAATCACCTATCTGCCTGCACATTGTTAGCAATGTTTCTATGGACATGTTACAAAATAAGCACATCACTAGGGATGGTGGTATATGCACTTGGGAGGCTGAGGCAGGAGGATCGCCATGGATCTACATAGGCTGGGCTACATAAGTGAGTTCAAGGCCAACCTGCACTACATAGTGAGACCCTATCCAAAAAGAAAAAGAAGAGAAAGAAAAAATGAGCCCAATAAAAATGGAATTTGTGAAAAGGGTCACTCTGGCTGCACAGGGACAAGTATTTCTTAACTTGGTTCCTTATACTGGGTGGCAGACAACCATAGCACACTTTTCTGATGAAAATATTTCCATTCATGTAACAGCAGCTGTGTATGCATCTCAGTAACTGCACTCCGGGACATAGGAGGCAATCTCTGTGTTCACCCACTTGGCAGGGGAACAGCCAGGTATATGCACATGTGTCCAAGTGTCAACAGGTGAGCTTTTTCCACTGTATGTGCCGTTACTTTCCTGTGTATTTATAATTTGTTTTATGAAATGTTTTCTTTTGATTTTCTTGTAGAATTAGCCAAGTTCAGTACAGCATCACATGAAAACCCACTTTTATAGCACAGGGAGGAAGGTGAAAGGGAGTCATCCGTGACTCAGCAATCCACGGTGACCTGGATCACGTAAGGAAAGAGGCTGTGATAGTGACATGCGCCAGGGTGAAGACCCTAGTCAGATGAAGAAGGAAACAATAATGTAGACAAATGTTCGACTAGTAAGTGCTATGAAACAATCATATGTACCTGAATCATCCAACTTTAGAACTAGGTGAGAAAATGTCGTTAGGCTCTTGCCAGGAGTGACACCAAGTGGATGGCATGCCAACCCTGATTCAGTGGTGGAAACTGTTTGTAACGGATGATGTGCCAAGAGCTGTTGTGAAACACACAATAATGAAATAAAACATTTTATAAGCACCAGTAGTGACACTCAGAAATACACCTACCATGACACAGCACTGCCTGTACGAAAACCTTCACAGCAGGCTTCACCATTCCACTCCGCAGACTCTGAATTTACGGAGAAGTGACAGACGTGGTGTAGAGAATTTTAGAACAATAAGGGCACTCAAGAGATTTGGTTTTCTTCAAAATTCTCTACATTGTGATGACAAAAAGATCCACCAAGCAAAAAAACCCACCCATTTTTTTGAAACTGTCAAGCAGTTTATACACCATCTGAGAACATGCACCATTGCATCACTGTTGAAGCCTTAGGCAATATATACCAAATAACACTCCCAAACCTGGCATACCAATATGTGCCTTGGCAGATGTGATGGCATTTTACATCCTGAATTTAGAAATTTATTCTGGAACTCAGCCACCAGATCTTTATTTGTGAAGTAATAAACTGTAAGACATTGTAAACAGACATTGTACTGATTTCAAAAAAGTAACTGAAATATCCCATTTGACAATTGATTCACTGGCTATACATGGTGTCATGTACACTAAAAGAACACCAACCACCAGCAGAACGACTTAAGTCAGAAAAGTGGAGACTCCTGAAAAAATGCTGCAAGTTCACAGTAGAGGAATGTGGTA